AACGGGCTCCGGTCACCCTACTGAACACGCGCCTTATGTTTGACTTTATTCTCAATCGTGAAACTTTGGCCATCTCCACCACTTTAAAGAGCTTTTAAATTAAAATTAACAGAAACCTGCTCAGTGCTGTGTTTAAAATCCTTTCCTTGTGTTTTTTTCCTCCCCTTTCCTTCTAGGGAACGTAAAAGGGAGACCCTCCCACCCCGTCCCACTGCCCCGAAGCGCTAGGGTTTTGGTGCGTGCTGCATGAAACTGGCTGAATAGACCCAGCTACTCCAGTCTCGCCCTCCCCGGGCTGGGCGTCCAGCACCAGGCCGCGTTGCGTGGGTTTTCGTCAGAAACGAACAAACAAACAAACAATATTAAGGGATAAATTTTAAAAAGGCTTCGAAAAAAAATCACTCCCTTCCCATAGCTTCTGAAGGAGAAGACGAGAACAAGTTCTCAAGCGAGAGCCAGCGTGAAGGGAAGTAGTACGGACAGATATTGAACTACTGGCATGAATTCTCGTGCCCATGGAAGCGACAGACGAACAGCGCGAGCGGCGAGGCTCGGTGTCGGCAGACGGGCCCCGCGCACGGCGCCGCGTGCGTCTCGGCCCTGACCGTTGAGCGTCTGCTGTTCTAGCTCCGAGCCTCCCCCGAGCAGAGGGTGCTACTTGTACCGCGATGCGTTACGAGGGGTGGGGAAGGTGTGATGGGGAAGTTATCCTCCAAGGACCTGGTCCAAGCATGACTGTAACTGCAACTGAAGCGGGACTGGAACTGAGCAGTCCAGGTAACGCCCTCCCCCTCTGACCGGGATCAGACTTACCCGCCTACCCGCCCGCTCTGCGGCTCGTCGGGCCCACGCACGTGGGGACCGCGGCGCAGCCGGGGCTGCCCCAGGGACGAGCAATCTCAGACTGAAAGAGTCTCTAGAAACATTTAGAAAAAATACAAGGAAATGAGTTCATAAAACTTTTTAGTGGGCGGGAAGGAAGAAGGGGAAGGAGGAGAGAGAAATTGCACTATGGCCAAGCAATATAATAATTAAAAAAAACCAAAAAACCAAAAGAAAACCAAACCAAAAAAGATTTCAAAAGAGACCTAGCAGAATTTGACAGATAACTAGTGTTAAATTGTTAACTCGTATCACATAGAGAACCCAAAACAAAACGAAAGTGTCTCTATGGTACAGACAGAGTAACATACAACAGGTAAATGGCAAAACAAAACAAAAAAAATATATATATATTTTTCATAGAATTACAAACAAGATAAAATAATGGAAAACAAAAAAACTGTACAACTTTAGAATTTAAAAAATGTTCATCTCAAACACGGGGAGAAATACAAGAACTTTTGTTAAAAGAAAACAGCTTGTTAAAACAGCAAATGCTCTGTGTACTTGTTGTTTTTGACACCTTATGCTACAACTGGATACTGGTAGGAATATTAGATGGTACTCTTTAGTATTGTCTACTTAAAAAAACAATTAAAAAAGGAATCTGCACTGTGCATCAGCCTAGTTAGAAATATGTACAACAGTTCAGGATCTAGTCTTTCATTAAACTAAAAACAAAAATCCATAAAAACAAAAGAGTCCCGGCTAAAAAATGACATCCGTTTCTCGTCTCGGAATGCTCCAGTCTCTCGCGGAGGCGGCGAGCGGCTTCGGCACTGACTGGGGAAGGAAGCCAGAAGGTGAACAATGGAACCTGCATTCACAGTCTTCGAAGTTCCCTTTTGAAACGTAAGGAGGATGAAGATGAAAGGGAGAAGAAGGATTTCATACGTTCGGGGCGGGGAGAGGGGAAAGAAGATTGTTTCTGTTGACGTTTGGCTACGGAAGTGAAACGGCAAGCATCTATTTGTCTCCAAAACCTACGTTTTAGCAGCACAAAATCTTCCTTCCAAAGTCCAGCCCATACAAGATAGTGTGCGTGTGTGTGCGTGAGAGAGAGAGAGAGAGACGGGGAGAGAAAGATAGAGAAGAAACGAGGGAGAGAGTACTTTCCATCAACAGGAACACAGAGATTAACATAAACACGAGTGCCTCACATACGGTTTCTTTTTTTGCTTTCTGTACATTGCTATCTGATTCTTTGCGGGCTGCACCTCTGGGTCACTCACCACTCAGACTGCCTAACACAAGGACAAAACTTTGAAGTAAAAACTTGTCTTTTGGTATGTTGAATTTTCATTAAGAGTTGCCTCTCTGCTTGCAGAAGAAGCACAGGTAACAACAACCTGGGTGCTTTTTAGGGTTTTTTTTTTTTCCTTCTTCTTTCTTTAAGCTTATTTGTGTGTGTTTAAATTAGAAACAAATTCTCAAGTAAAAAGAATCCTTTTTGCTCATTCTGCACCAGTGGTGAAAGGGTATGTCTTTGGATTTTATTTAAAGCATGACATTTTTTTGAGAAAAAAAATGTAACCAAAACTTACTTGAAAAGAACAGAGTGCAGCCTAATTACACAAACAGAAACAAATGCTTATAGTTTAGGAACAGAGTCTTTGAAGCATTTACAAAATGAGGAAAGGAAGGAGGAAAAAAGAAAATGAAAAATAAGAAAGATAAGTGCACAAGGGTAACAGACATAGGTAAATCGTATGTATACGCCTTAAAAAGTTTCAAACCCCCAACAAAAAATATTCTGCAAGGGATCCTACTGACCCCAAAAACCCTTTGAACTTCTTTCTTTAGTTTTTATAAAATAAGTATGCAACCACCCTCTAAGAAATGAAGGCAGCAACCATAAGTGGAAGATTACAGGATGGGGAGAAAGGGGAATAAAGGTACAAAGGGGAGAAAAGCTTAGGCGAGTCAATGGATTGCAATCTATCTGGCTAGGAATGAACAAGACAACATCAAATGAGAAGCCGTCAGCTGGACCATACAAAAGCTAAATGTACACAAAAGGGTTTTTTCTTTTAAATCTACCATACTGCTTCAGTTCATTTCCAATGCAACAATCTACTCAACACCAAAAATGGTCATATCTATCATAAATACAGAAAGTCAGTTGTTTTAAAACTTATTTTTTAAGCTCCAAGTCCTCAACACTCTTTGTGTGTTTTTTTTTTTCTGAAAAGTGGGAGTGCTTAACTTTTCCCCTTGAAATTGGCTTCAGCAGAAAAGCTACCCTTAAAATCCCCAGAAAGCTAAAGCAGTTCACATTGTTTTTCTCTTGAATACTTTCTGCCCATTTTAAATTAAGGAAAAAAAAAAAAAAAAAAAAAAATCAATCCTTTTCTGGAACAAAAACCAACAAAACAAAAACCCCCAAAACAAACAAAAAGGAAATTATATATATATATCTATATATATATCTATATATATACATATATATGCATGTGTGTGCGCATATATATATACATGCATGTATATATATACATACACACACATGCACACACACGCAACCGTGTGCATGTGCGAGTGTGTATATATATCTATATATATATAAAACAATGATTCTGAAAACAGAACAAAGTGTGAGCGATTGACCTGAGAATAAAAAGACATTACATTTCTTTTTTCTTTTAGCAAGCCATTGGTATCTGAATGCTAAGATAGCAAGAAATTTAAAACTGTAACAAGGTGGGCTGCTTTCCCATACAGTGCGTGCCGGCCTCTGCTGTGCTATCAGTGAGGGGCATTATTGAAAAAGGGCAATATACAAGGGGTTTAAGCTCCAAAGACATTAAGGAGGCAGTATAGACTCGTCTCCCAGACCAACAGTACCTTCAAAAGGACAAATGTAACAGCTTTTTTTTTTTTCATTTTTTATTAAAAGGAAAAAAAAGAAATGTAAAACCCACCGGCATTGTTATATGGGAAAACAACCCACACTTTTTCTTTTTTTCTTTTTCTTTTTTTGGTTAGAAGCTTTGGAATTGCAGTTAGTCTATTTTTGAAATTGGTTTGTTATTAATTTTTTTTTTTTATTTAAATTCATTTTTATTGTTCATCTTCAAAGCTTACAATCTGAAGGTGTCCATTCCTACACTAGTTAGACCACTGTCCTTAGGGCAGCTGGGGTCCTTAGGCCCCTCCACCGGGCTAGCCGGTCCATCTGACTTTTGGCTAAGATCCGTGTCAGACTCCTCCAAATAGTCGTCTGTTGGCATCGAGGGCTGAACCCCTGAGGTGCTGCATGAACTTGAGGTAACCGTTGAAGATGAGGAGAGAGGAGGGAACGAAGGAGGAGGCGGCTTCCCGAGGGGAGCCCGGGAGCCCGCTGGGGGCCAAGACTTTCTGGAGGCGTGGGGGGAAGCCGAGGAGGAGGACAGAGAGGGCGGGGGGCTGTCGTTTGTGTGAGCGGCAGACTGCGAGGTAGATGCGGTGCTAGGATCGGGGAGGCAGGCAGAGTGAGGTAATAGACTGGGGTGCTCTTTGGCGTTTCTTGCTGCTCTTGTGATTGTTCGGTGTTTGTGCGGGGCTGACTCGAGATGCTGACTCAGGGCTTCGTCCCCACACACCGTGCTCTCGCACGCCACGCACTGGTACGAGCCGCTGCCCTTGCCGCTGCTGCCAGTGGGCACATGAAGCACCATCTCTTGCAGATTCACCACAGACTGGCCGAAGAAGCAGAGGGACTTCAGGTGGTTGCTGGCCGCCTCCTGGTCGCTGAAGCCCGCCTGGCACTTGCGACAGACCAGCTTGTACTGCACCTTTGGAACAATGAAGGGGTCACACAGGGAGTCCGCACTTTTGCTTTCTGCTTCGGGCTCTTCTTGGGGTTTGGGCAGGAGGGGGGACACCTCACGGGGTGCGTTTTTCTGCTCTTCTTGTTTGGGGGATTCTTTGGCAGGGTCTTTGTCTGGGGTAGCAGCCCCCGCGGGGACTGGGGTTTGGCTTCCTTTGGGCTGTTGCTCCTGCTGCTGCTGTCTGCTGCTGCTGCTGCTGCTGCACTTGCCGCTGCTGCTGCTGCTGCAATGCCTCCTGCAGGCTCTGCTGATATTGCTGGTACTGCTGCAGCAGGGAGCTGGGGGACAGGCCGAGCAGAGCCTGCGACAGCGCAGGGCTGTAGGGGAACAGGCCTTCCATGCCGTACATGGGCTGCAGGTACCCGCTCTGCAAGGCCCCCGGGATCTGAGGGGCGTAATAGGGAGAAAAGCCGGGGACAAAGTAGGGAAGGAACTGGCTTGTAAGCAAGGTGGTTGGATCTGAATTCAAGGCAGCCTGCAGCGCCTGAAGCTGGGCAGGCTCCACTGCGTACTCCATGGTGGGCAGGGGGGCCGACAGGGTGGCTGCCGGTGCCTCTCCTTTCTCCTTCTTGGGCCCCGGCAGGGAATCCCCTTTCCCTTTAGGTGCCTTCTCCTTCTCTTTAATCTTCTCACTTTCCTTTTCCTTGCGCTGCGGCGGCGGCTGCGGCGGCGGCTGCTGCTGCTGGGGGGCCATGGCCACCGTGGGCTGTGCTGGGGTCGGCGAGCTCAGCGAGGCCGAGGGCTGTTTATTTGGTAATCCAGACGTGGGGAGGCCGGGCGAGGGGACGCTTGCGGTGGGCAGACCCATCAGGTTGGGTTTTGGAGAAGTTAAAGCTAGAGAGAGGGGGAGAGAGAACCAGTGAAACAAGTCGGCACGACCGGCGGAAAGCGCGAGTCAGGCGGGCGGTCGCTGAAAGCGAGGGCAGCCAGGCACCGCTCGGCCCCGCTCAGCAGCGACCGCGCTTCTCATCTATTCAGTGCTTTGGACATGCGAGGCCAGCAAGCCCGCCTGGGGCTCGGGGCCTTGAGCAAGCCCCGGGGCACCCCAGCAGCACCGGGACCACCGGTGCCCTAGCCGCTGGGTAGCACAAATAGCGTGACATCGACTGGGAGGTGCACAGACGCTGCGCAGGGCCAGGGGCCCGCTAACCACCGCAGAGCTAAGTCTGCCCCATCTAGCGCAGACAGCTGCAGGCCTCAACATCTAGGTGCCTGACACCTGCAGCCAGCAGCCTCCCACCTCCCTCCGCCTGGTCGGGCAAGGGTTTGACCTCCCTGACCGGGCACCCCCCAAACCAGGGGCTGCGTCGGTCATTAAACCAGAAGCGCCGACTCGGCAGCATGGCCGGGTGCTAACGAAGGGAGTTAGCCTACAAACCAATTTTAAATATGTGAAAACCTGCAGGAAAGAAGAGGAGATGGGACAGGAAAGGAGCAAAGCAGAGCCAAAGAGCGGGGGAGGATGCGAGGAGCCCTCTTTTCACTCCCGCTGCTCCGATTCCCGCTGCCTTCCTCCACTGCCAATTTCCAGGCTCTGGCAGACGCCCTCCCTCTCCCCCTTCCCAGTCTGGCACAACCCACCTTCTTACGGGTACAGAGCGCTGGCAGTGGCTCTGCTTTCCTCGGAAACATTCCCACGTCTATGAAACGCAGTGCCCCCTCCATAACCTGGATGCCTGGAAAGCCCCTTATTTGGCCAGGACAGACGAACGCCTGCCATAACCCGCTAGCCGGGGACTCCTGGAGAGCGTCCAAAGGTTCAGAGAGCGATCAGCCAGGGGAAACTGGGGAGGGCAGCCAGAGCAGCAGCACTTGCATTGTAACTCGTGCGTTCGGGGGACGAAGAGTAACCGTTTCCTGCGTCCAGCCACGGGACCGGCGAGGCACGGGGAACAGGAAGACCTCTCCACCGTCCGACACCCGCACACTGCCAAAGCACCCGGCCTCGTTAGCCAGCCGGTCCAAATCGAGAATAGTGAGTACATGGGTTGGTGAGAAAAACCCCACGCTGAACCATCAGGAAGGCAGGAGCACCAAGCTGCGCCCGCGCCCCTTCCCCTTCCCCTTCCCCTCACCCACCCACCGCTCCGGGCTCGCACCGAGTGGCCGATGCCTCCACTCCCAAAGGCTGAGCGTTGCCACGGGCCGATCGGCCACGGTGCAGACTCGCAGAAGCGTGTCTGTGCTTCCTGAGCTAATGCCCCTGCCGGTACCGTGCCTCCCGTGCCGTGGACTCCGCAGCCACCACTCCCATCCCATCCCACACCCCTGAGCTGCTGGTCTCTGCAACAGGAACCACCACCCACTCGAGGGGCCGGCAGCAACGTGGGGAACGTTGATGGGCAAGAAGAAAGGGAACGGACCCTGCCAAAGCTGCCCTAAGAGACAGGCCGTGGCTGCTCCGGGCGCTGCCCGTGCCACGCTGTGGTGGTGAGGGCACTGCTTGCTTTCTCAGCACTGGGTCAGTCAAAGGCACCGACCGGGTGAATGAAGACACGATGCAGGGGACCCCGCTCACAAGGGGTACGACGAGCTCTCTCTGCCTTGCTCGGTGCTGAGCGCTCCTGTCCTCTGCCCCGTCCCGACCGGGAGCTATGCCCAGGCCCCTCAAGGCACGGAGTCGTTTTTCCTCTTCCCGTTTTGGCGCTGGCCAGCCAGATGCTCCCACATGCGCCTTCCTGAGAGTTGCTCTGTCCAGCAACAACTTCGTCCCAGGTCACGCCCCAGGCAGGGAACGCCAGGTTTCAACGACGAGGACATCTCCACCGCAAGCCAGCTGCATGCGTGCAGCCCTGAGCGCTGGGGCTAGAAGATCCTCCCCTAAGAACAACTTCTCCCGTAACTGCCTACTGCAAGGCCTTCTTTCACCTTTCTTTTGAAGCAGAGGGCATTGTCTGCTATCAAAGACAGTGTACAGGACTAGCAAGACCTCTCTTTGACCCAGTCTGAATGCTCCTGTTCTTTCGTTTTGTTCCCTGCAAAAAAGATTAGACTAAAGCTGGCTGAACATTCATGTGAAATCTAAATGAATTTGCCTAGATTCGCTGCTCTTCTGCCTGCATCGTGGCAGCATTCAACGGTTACTTGTGTGGGCCCTTGCAGGGAGCTTCCTGAAAGCCTCCTTACCATAAGCCAGACTCCGGAGGTTAAAGTCCTCCACCGAGCACGCAGGAGTAACTACCTGTGCCTTCTGCGACGTACCGCAACTCGGGTAGCAAGAGTACAAACTTGCAAAAAATCTCACTGGATCACTTACGACAAGCAAGCGAGAGAAACCCCACTGTCAGTCTGTGGGCAGAACACAAGCCAAAAAAAAAGGCAAAGTGTGCTGAACAAGTTGCTCACAAAAAATTATTCACTCAGCTGATATACTCGTATCAAAGCCCTTCTAGTCACAGCGGTGGTTCCCTTCCGAGGCAGCTCTAGCAAAAAAGGGACCCCATTTCCCTCCCAGAATATAGCTCGCTCGTCCTCCCGGGTGGCTCCTTGGATGTGGCAGCCATCATTTCTGAGGAGGTATAAGACCCTCTTGTCCTCTGGCATTTTCTCTGGAGTGAAAAAGATAAAAATAGCTAAGTACCTACGTAAGGCCCCAAACTCAGCGAGCTGGAAGAAGACAAGCTTGCTGAACTGAGGGTCTCGTCCACACAAGGGTTTTCCCCCTCCAGGTTCCCGCTGGAGCTCGCAGAGGTGGGAGTGCTGCGCAGGCAAGGTGCTGGCGTCAGCCGTCCTCCCAACCACTGTTCCCACCACGGATGGAGCAGGAAAGCCAGTCTGCTGTGAAGGAGGCTGGAGAGGAAAATGCCAACCCCGTACTCCTTGTAGCAGTTGGTCTATCCAAGTTACAGCCGTCCAAAAGTCAACACTTTATCCAAAGGTCACAGCTTTTTTCCCTTTCTAAATACTGTAGTCCTAAGTTAGCAGCTGACTGCTTCTCACACGCAGGGTTGGTAGCTTCATCCCTGCTGGGGCTTTGGGAAAAATAAAGGCAAAGCTGCAGATCGAACTGAAAATCTTTTAAAAAAAATGTGGCTGTGATTTAAGTACCACCACTTTGTATCAGGTGGGTTGCAACAAGGTCTGCAACCCAGACTCTCCCGGCCATGGTAATGGGCGCTGAAAATGAGACCACTGGCAGGAGGGGTTATCGAGACAAGGGTCCCATGGGCTCCGAGATCCCCCCTGGTAGGGATGGAAAATGCCAAATTCAAGCTCCAAGTGTCAGCAAACCCTGCGTGCGAGGACAGCTCCGTGCAAGAGCCGTAGGAGTAGTTCCAGCAAGGCCACGATGGGCTCCAAGGCTGACGATGCAGACCACAGCCAGGACCAAAACCTGTGTGTGGCCAAGAGAGAGGAAAACACTCCTGCAGCCGGGCGCGGACACAAGCCAAGGCCTCTGCAACTGAACCGGGAGGTTTTCTGGATGTTGGCAGGACTGTCTCAACGTCCTGAGGAAAAGATTGACTTTCACTAGTAGATGTTTAGGATTGTGAATCCAAAAAAAGATGAGAAAGCCGGTAGGGAAATACATAGCGGGCTTAGCCAGGCAGCATCTGTGCTGAACCACCCAGCTGCTTTCACGGGGGAAAGTTCAACGCGCGGGTGTAAGAAGGACCCGTGCTCAAGGGTAAGGAGGAGCGGGAAAGGGAGCCCAAGAGAAAGGGGCTTGCTGGCTCCTGAGCATAACTTCTGGTCTCGCGTCTTTGCTATACAGATGTTGAGCTCTGAAGAGACCCCATCCGTCAAGGCCCGAGTCCGGGGAGGTCAGACGTGTGCTGATGCACTCTCTCTCTCACAGGGTGGCTAATGGCAGCACTGCTCAATGCTGGTCCGTCCAGAGACCTCGGGGCTGGGGTGGATCCTCAGCCAGCGCAGCCTGTCTCTGGTTCCTTTGGGAGCTCCTTTACAAAGGTCTTCCCTTCTTGCACCAGGCTGTGACGACTAGGAAGGCGTGGCGGCCATGCTATTTGTGCCTGGGGGACCCCTTTTGGAGATCCCTCATTTGTGCACAGCCAGAGACGCTCATAAGATCAGCTTCTGGAGCAAATCTTTTGGTTCTTTGGCCCTTTTGAGAAAACACTGGCTTCTACAGGGAAACGCTCTCCCCGTGAAGCACGACCTCCACTGTTTGTGCCCGCCTTTAGCAGGCCAAGAGGAAGAGCTGTTGCACCTGTTGTCTGAGATGGCTGAAGCAAGCCTGAACATGGCTCAAGTATCTAAAGTTTCAAAAGAACTGAATGAAGTAGGAAAATAATCTGTATTTTTTCTGTCCAATTAACAACAGATCGAACCGAAAAGGGATGTTTGTTCCCCACCTGCTCCAAGTGGCAGAGGGGGAGGGATGTTCCTGCTGTTGATCTGTTGAATATAGGACACAAGGGAACAGTGCTGGCCCTTTCATAGCCAACTATTGCTCATCAAACCGGATCACTGGCCACGCAGCCACGCAAGCAACGGTTACTGCAGGTTACCACAAAGACAATGGCATGCACAAGAACCTCCAGATTTCCCATCACCTTTTCTGCTACGCATCTGTATTGTTAATAAAGCACCTGGAACGTCATTGGGAATTGGAGGCGAGTAGAAAATGATCTGAATTTTCTATCAAAAGCAATGACACAAGGAACAGCGCACTGAGCGTGCTACTCCTGTTCAGACACAACGCAACAAAGACCTCAGCTTCCAAGTTTCCTTGAGGATGCTGCAGAATTTATAGCGTGTGCCACGCGGCCCCGGAGCCGTGGCTCACGGGAGCTGGAGAGAACCAGGCCGCGGCAGCTCGAGCGCCTGGCTTAGGGAATCAAAGGTACAGTAACTTTGCCTTGTGCCCTGCTGATGACACTGTGGACTGGAGCGTGGTAAGCCCGATTTCAGACATTTCTGGGGAAATGTCCATTGTGCCACAGGCGCACACTAGGGAAAGCTACACGTCTGCGCAAGGAGACGACTGCTCCGGCACCCACCTGTGTTGGATGGAGTGAAGCCTGGCAAGGACGGGCTGTTGAGGCCTGGGAGCAAGACGGGAGGGATGCCCTGCAGTGCCGGGTACGCAGTAGGAAGGTTCAGAGCTTGCAGAGGGGTGTTATCAAACATGCCCTGCTGCTGAGCTGCCAGACCAAGAACCTCATTGGCTTTCTTGATCCGGTCCAACTCCTGCTGAGCCATCAACTGACGTACGGTTGCTGGGTCAAAGTACTCCTTCTCCTTATCCAACTGGCTTCCAATGGTTTCTTTAACTTTGGAGATATGCTGTTGAGAGAAGATATGGTCACGTACAGACAGCCGAGCGCTGTACTTGATGCCACACAAAGTGCACTCTGTTTTGGGTCCCTCATAACTTGTTTGGTTTATGCCAAAATGCTTGGCCATGCTGAGCTTGGATTTCTTCTCCTTGGCCCTAGCATTCTGGAACCAGACCTGAACAACTCTCTTTGGCAGTCCAATGTCATTGCCCAGGACCTCACACTCCAGCATGGTGGGTGTCCTGTAGTCATTAAAGCATGACTTCAGAACCTTTAGCTGGAGATTAGTCATCTGAGTGCGAAAACGCTTCTGCCCTGGCCGATCCCCGCTCTCTCCAGACTTGCTGGCCGAACCACTTGCACCGGGGCTGGGTGAGCAGGGGTCTGCAAGGCTGGATGTTTCACTATAGTCCACAGTACCTTCATTATCGTACTCTTTGCTGTAAAAGCTGGGAGCTGGGCTGACTAGGCCAGAAGACAACCGATCCTCATACTCAGACATTGCTATCATGGCAGCCTTTGTCAGACCCTCGCTGGGTCCTGATGTTGATTTGGTTTCAGTTGCAATCCCCGTGGCGCTGTCGTTGTCTGCATTGCCTTCGTCTCCAGTTGTAGTGTCTGTGATCGCAGTGTTGACAGAAGAACAGTCGTCGTTGTCCAGCTTCGTTTGGTCAAAACTCAGGTTAACCGAGGACATGGAGGGACTTTCGAAGTCTTCTATCCCTTCTACCTTAATGGAGGACGGACTAAGCAGCGTTCTAGGCGACAGCTCCATGCTTTTGTTCACCGGCGAGAGGGGAACACCCTGACTGTCGCTGCCGCTTGGCGGCATGTGGGAAAAGCTGCTTGCTCCATCAAAGATGTCTCCCTTCATCTGGAGCCCCCCGTCACAGTCTAAAAGCATAGCAGACAAAGTCAGGTTGTAGCCAGCTCTCTTGGCCTCGTGCCAATGACGGGATCGGATGTGCGCTTCCAGAGCGGTCTTGGCTTTAAAGAGCGCGCGGCAGAAAGGGCAGCGCCTGTGGGCTTGGGCAGGCCCCACCGCTCTGAACTGTCCCTTCCTCTCCCGGGCTCGGGTGTTCTGAAACCAAACCTGCACCACGCGCTTCTTCAAGCCCACTTCGTGTGCAATGTGATCCAGCATCTTCCGCGTCGGGTTGGAGTCCAGCAAGTACTTCTGGTAAAGGATCTCCAGCTGCTCCGGGGTAATCGTCGTCCTCAGCCGCTTGTCTCGCTGAGGCTCTTCTCCCCCCGTCCCGCTGTCGTTCTCCCCGGGGCTCGCACTGGCCTTTTCCTCCAGCTTTCTCTTCAGCGTGTTCATCGTAGATGTTGGTGTTGAGGGCGACGTGGCCGAGCTGGCTGGGATCTGAGGCAGGGTTCCAGATAACAGCTGGCTCGCAAGCAGTGGATTACTGGGGTCAAAAAGCATGAAAGGCATATCTAGCGTCCTGTCCAGGAACTGGGGGTGTATAAACTGGTTCTGTGCGCTCAGAAAATGAAGCTGCTGATGCTCCTGCCAATGCTCGAAGGAAGGGAAGGCCAGTTTGCACTGGTCACACTGGTACGGGATTAACTGAGGAGGTAGGTTTGCCAGCTGCTGAGGGGTAGACGTATGAAGGGGCTTGAGGGAAAGATGCGAGAGCTGAGACGGGCTCGGACTCGACGGTGGCAAAGAGCACTGGGGTGTCTGCGGGAGGGGTGGCTGCTGCTGTAGTGAGCTGGGGGAGGATAACTGAGAGAGCTTTTGGTGCGTCAAACTGGTCTTCTGTTCTCCTTGGTCCTGCTGCTGCTGAGGCTCTTGCTTTGGTTGCACTTGCTTCTCTTGAGTTTGGTTTTGCTGTGTACTGGGAGGTTCAAGCTGCTTTGGTTTCTCATCTGTAGCTTCTGGAGCTTTACAAGTATAGGTGGAAGAGTCCTCTGCCTCAGCGGTGAGCTGCAAGAAAGCTGAAGAGGTTGCATTAGCGGCGGAGGTTGGGGTGCTATACGCTTGCGAGGGCATCGGCGTGCTGCAGGAGGAGCTGGTCGGAGTCAAGAGCTCCGTTGCGTCCATTGAGTCTTCGTTCTGGCTGTCGTCCTGTCCATCCTCGTCCTCATCTTTGTAACAAAGCTTCTTCTGGTGTTTGATAAGATCGAAAATGCGCTGAAAGACGAGACTGCACTTTTTGCACTGGTAGTTCAAGTTGCTCGTTCGAATGTACCTGTCGTTCGTCAGCTCCCGCCGTTCCCCGTCTTTGCCTTCTCCCTGATTCTCATAGTTTTTCCTAGCTTTCTGGCGGGCGTTCTGGAACCAGACCACTATGACGCGCGTAGGGAGGTTCAGCAAGTTAGAAAGCTGCTCGAATTCGTCATCCTTTGGATAAGCGTTGGCATCAAAGAAGTCCTGCAGCACCCGAAGTTGGTAATCTGTAAACCGTGTCCTGGAGGACCTCTTGCTACCCCAGTACTCCTGCTTCTGAGGCTCAGGAGAGGGAGGCCGCGAGTCGATCTTCAGCTCCTCCAGGCTGGTAATGGGAGGGTTGCTGAAGTTGTAGGGGGAATCTTTGTTGCGCTGGCGCTCTTTGAAGAGGGTGTTTCTGAACCAGTGCTTGATCACCTTCTGCGGCAGCCCAGACTTGTCAGCCATCTCTTTGATCTGCTCCTCGCTCGGGGAATTGTTGATATCAAAATACTGCCGAAGCACTCGGAGCTGGTCGTCCGTGATGCGAGTGCGCGGCCTCTTGTTCTGCTGCTGCTGGAGGAGGCTGGGGTTCAGCTGGTGCTGGTAGAGCTGGGCCAGGTCTGCCGGCAGGGGGTCTACCGGCCCGAGCTGGGGCGGCAACTGAGCAGGCAACGTTTGCAGCGGCATGGTCTGCATCATCAGCGGAGAAAAGATGGGCAGCTCCATTGGCATGGAGAGCTGGGTGAGCGGCACAGACGGCTGGGCTGGTGCGATCGTAGGAGGGGTTATCGGCGGGGCAGAGGCTGGAATGGTTGGCGTGGAAGCTGGCTGAGGCGGCGCTGGAGGGAGCGGGGGCGGCGGCGGGGGCGGCGGAGGCGGGGGCTCCGGCGTCTGGGGCCGCAGAGGATACAGCTTATCGTAATGCTCTCTGTACTGCTTGGCAAATCTCTCCAGCTGCTTGAAGGGGAAGTAGTGCTGGTGCACGTGCTCTTGGTGGCTCTTCAGAATGAGGATGTTTGAGAAGAACTTGCCGCACGTGTCGCACTCCAGCTTTTCCAGGTTCTCGCCCTGCTCCGTCTTCCCGTTCTTCTTCTGCACCTTCTGCTTGTTCTCGTTGTACTGAATGACCAGCTCGAAGCCGAAGTTCTCCAGCAAGGCTTTGGTAGCGTTCCCTCTTGCATCAGAGGCGATGCGTGGGGGCAGCAAGGAGGGCTCTGCGCTGGCGCCCGGGGCAAAGTCCTTCTTGTCTTTGGGCTTGAGGCTGTCAGGCAGAGGCTCCTTGGACCCTGAGCTGCTGTCCACCCTCTCCACGCTGTCCCTCTCCCTCTGGCTTTCTTTCTCCTTCTCCTTCACGATGGATTTGTTCTTCTTCTCCGAGTGCTGGCTCTGCTGGACAAGGACCGAGTGCGACTGCGACAGGGAGAGCTGCCCTTGCTGCTGCTGCAGTAGCTGCGGGTGGCTCTGCTGGGGGAGCTGGACCTGAGCCTTCAAATCCTCCAGCAGACTCGGCCCGCTACCCGTCAGCGTCAGCGCCCCGCTGGTCACAGGCAGGCTGACTTCGGGGTTGAGCTGGAACTCGGCGCTCGGGATGTAAAACGGGAAGAGAAGATGCTGCTGCTGCTGCAGCTGGAGCAGGGTCTCCGTGGTCATTGGGAAGTGTGGCAGGAGAGTGGGGTTGAACAGCTGGGACTGCAGGAGGGCAGCCTGCTGCTGGAGCTCTTGTTGCAGGTGGGCCTGGACTTGGGCTTGGGCCTGCGCCAACGTCTGAGCTTGCTGCTGCTGTTGCTGCTGCTGCTGTTGCTGCTGCTGCTGCTGCCTGGATGCAATCATATCCGCCAGCTTCTTCCGGTTTACCTCCTTGGGCTCAGAAGGGGAGATGCTGGCGCTAATGGGGTTGCTTAAAGGTGGGATTCCCATGCTGTCACTGGATACCTGGTTGAGCAAGCTGGGGATCGGTGCTGCGCCAGCGTTACTGGTGTTGGTGGTTGTGAAGGCGTTGGAGCTACTAGTGTTCACCGGGCTCGGTGTGGATGAGCCCAGGGAGATACTGCTGCTGCTGCTGCTCCCAGTGTTACCCGCTCCGTCACTACTGCCGCTGCCACTGGCTGCCTCCAGTTTGGCAGCCCGGGCCTTGGTCTGGTGCAGGACAGACCTCATGTGGATCTCCAGGGTGGAGCTCTGGCTGTAGGCCACGTTGCAGGTGTTGCACTTAAAAGGTTTGTTGTCTGGGCTGCTGGTCGGTTCGGGCTGCCCAGTAGCAGACTCCTGGAGGGCTCGTTTCAGTTTATGCAAGTGAGAAACTGAATTGTAATGGACCAAAAGAATGTTCTTTTGCGTGAAAGACTCCTTGCAAACTGTGCACTTGTAAGGGCGAGATGGGTCCAGAAACTTCTCCATGGTGAAGTTCGGACCTTTCCTGAAGGGCAAGGCCCTCTTCGGTTCCGAGCCAGAGTCTTCTTGCACCGATCCAGAATCGCTGCCAGTAGGACTCTGTTTATCTTCCAGGTCGCTCTCCTCCTCCTTATCCTCCTCCACAATTATAGTGTGGTCTTCCGCCAGCGAGGGATCACCCATCGCCAAGAGGTCTCCATTCACCAGAAGCCCTCCGTAGAGCTGCTGAATATCCGCTTCGCTCAGCTCCAGGTGACTGGTCTCCAGGTGCTTCTTCAGAGCCTGGAAGGTCCGGAAACTGCGCTGGCAAAGACAACACATTGTGGCTGCTCTGATGACGTGGTACTGCGAGTGGAGCTGCAGCTTCTCGATGGTTTTGAAGGCCAGGCTGCACTGGTTGCAACGGTATTTGTAGACGTGCCGGTCGGACACTGGCAGTTGCGGCCGTTTGGCATGAACCTCGTTGAAATGCGTCTGGAGGGCTGCTGAACTTTTGAACACCTGGTTACACCCCTTCTTCCAGCACAGGAAGCCAGAGTCCTCTCTGGTGGAGCTCTGATCGGCAGAGGCCGACTTGGGGTCCCCGCCGTGCTCTGCGCTCTCAGCCGACAAGAGGCTCTTTCCCGACTCCTCGCAGGTCTCTGAAACAGAACAAAAGAGGCAAAGGATGAGGAGGCGGTAGGAGAATATCTGCAGCCGTGCAGACAAGGCTCCTCTCAGCCAGTCGTCTACGATTTCCATAACGATCGCACGCCTATTTCTCGATTTGCATCCCGATCCGTTACTTCCTCTGCCCTGACCGTGAATAGAGGCTTTTCCTATTGCCACAAGGACTTTTAGGTGGGGGGTCACAGACTGCTCATTTGCTATTTGGCAAACACCAAAACATCATCCCCAAGCAGGACAGAAGTTATCCCTAATATTTTTCCTGTATTTTCATTTTTGAACTTCAACCGCTTGATGCTATTCCACCCACTGCCAATTCCATGCAATTTCTCCTCCCGGTTGTTCTTCCTTTGAACATCTAATTCTTCCTCACAAATTAAGCTGTTCAGCCACCTACTGATCTCCATCACTTTTCTCTGATGCCCTTGCCATTGGCCACAATCTCTGGGACGAGAAGATGCCCAGTCCTAACACAATAACCAGGGCACGGCTCTGCCATCGTTGCAAAGAAAGGGAATTCCTCAGACCTGCAGAAGAACGCGCTGCGCTCAACAGCTCGTCCAAGTCTATCCTAACCATGCCGCTGGGCTGACAGACGATAGCACTCACAAATATCCTGCCTCAAAGAGAGGGAACGGAAGTCAGTGGCTGCTGGACAGACTTCACTGAAGGCCACTATGGCCGGGGGGCGATTCAGGCCCGTGGGAAGAGAATACTGTACCACCTTTCTGCCGGGCTCTGGACAGAGCGTCTTGCCAGGACAGGCCGGGCTGCTGCACTGGCACGTGCTGAAAACGGGATCTCATGAACCAGTGCGTTTCTAGCTGCTCCAGCTAAGACAATACTGTCCATGCAGAACTGAGCTGGCTACCTGCAAACCCTGTCTCACGAAGGAAGGGACAGTTGTCTAAATCTCAAATTTCCTTCAAGACTTCTCTCTCTAGGAACCCTTCATCGGTGTCTTCTGCCCTGTTGGGACTCTGGCCAGAGACTATTATCACCTCCCTCCTGGAGTTCAGAAGCTTCTGCGTAGGCAGCTCAAGACATCACTGTCCTTTTCTTGGCGCCATGTAACACTAAACCTCAGCTCTAATTAGGTGGCTGCTATCACAAGTAGGGCAACACAGTGCCAGGGTAAAAACCACCAGGGTAGTTCGGGGCTGGATATGCAGCTGCAACTTGAGAGCAGCAGTGCAAACTTCCCTGAATTGCCTTGCTTATGAACCTCAGCCACGATCGGGAGAGACCATGCCTCAGTGACAAGGGCCGCAGTCCATTCCCCGCGGCCCAATTAGCCTCTGGCCTTTTCACCGACTCGTCCTAGGAGGGTGCTGAGTGCCTGCTGTGGCGATGTGAACACCTGGACTCTATTCAGGTCACATATGCCTAGAAGAGGAGGCAGATGGTTAAAAGCCCTGGTGCTGCTGAGCCGTCACCAAGCAGAAATACTAAGCAGCTTCCACGGGGTCAACGGACCGACTTCAGATCCGCACCAGACAGGCAGAAAGCACCCGGCCCAGGACTGGGCGAGGCGACCGGCGTAGCAGGTAAACAGCCCCTCGGTTTTAATACGTTTTAGCTCCTGTTTTTAAGGAAGCCAGACCCTCTTCCCCAGAGCCACTGGCTCTGCATCTGTGCTCCGGACGAGCAGGGCTCGACAAAAGCTTAAGGGGCGACTTTAAGCCACTTCCCCACTATCCCGATTTGGAGTCATCTGAGCCAGGACGCGGCGCCAAGCCGAGCAGCCTGAAGACGGCTCTCCGGCGCGCGGGCTGTCCGCGGGCCCGTGGGGCTGTCGGGCAGCTGGGGACCAGCCGGGTGCAGCGGCGCCCCGGGTCCACGCCTGGGTCACGCAACAACCCAGCCCAGGCAGAGCAAGCAGTGCTAGGCGGAGCACAGGGCTCGTGAACCGAGTCCCCTTCGGACACAAGCACGTTCTGTCCATCTCTCAGACGTCCTGCCCTCTGCACCAGATTCCTTCGGTACGAGGGAGCCACAGGCGCGTGAACTGCTCGGGCGAGCAACAACACCAAGGATTTTGCCTCCCAGTGCGCGCGCCAGCCAGAGGAACACGATTCACCCAGCGCCGGCTTCATGCAGACACTAACCAGGCTGCTTCCCCAGCTCTTCAGCGTTGGGGTTCCCATCTCTTTCTGGAGTGGATGCTGGAAGAAACATACTGCTGGGCATCATCACCTCGGGTGTCGTCACCTGAGGATGGGGGTAGAGAGAAGAAAAAACAAAAACAGGAACATGGTTAAAAATCTTTAAGCAGCAAAATTAGGCTCCAGCACTGTAAAGCCAGAGGTGTCACTTTTCATAGCTCGCTGAAGACTTGTGTTTATTAGACAAAGCTTGCATCAGTCAAAAGTGTTTCTACAGTTGCATTCTGGACATAATTAGCACTGCACACTTGAAGAATAATCTTATTATTAATATTTTTTCTTTATGCAGAATTCAGACTTTGATCACTGACAATGTTTTGTCATGGGCTGTGAAACTTCTTGTGCAACCAATTAGGTAGATAAGTTGAAAGGCCCACCTTAAGCTGCTGAAAACATAATAAGGCCCCTAATTAAATCATACCTCGTAAAGTACACTGTAATCTTGAACCAGGGAGCATTGCAGCACTGTTTTCAAAGTGTACCGATGCAGGAAAAGGAGGGGCATGAGAAAGGAAAAGTACAAATAAGGAGAAAGATGACAAGAGAAAGGATGAATAAGGAAAGACTCAAAGGAGACAGCAAACTGTCTGCAATACAGAAAGCTTTCTGTAACCCTTTACAGGCTTTGATTGATGGCAAAAAACCCTGAAGCTTCCTCTTGGCTTTCTTCAAGATTGTATTGGAAAGCTGCAGCACCATTAGCACCCATGATTCAAAGGCCAAGATCTTGAAGAGTAAACGGTGAGTTTGGATGCTCCAGTTCCAAGCCTGAGATGCTAGAGGAGCCAAGTTCAGTCTCAACAGATGAAGCCCCTTGACAGGATCTCAGGCTTGGCCCCCACAAAACATCCGCCACTTCTGAACGCCCGGCCGGCCGGCCCCCAGGGGCTAGCGGTCTGTCCGGCAATCGAGCCCAGGCAGCCCCAGGTGCCAGCATCAGTCCGCACAGCCTCCTGCAGAGCAAGCTGCTCGTCGGTCCCTGCGGCTCCACCGCACCGACTCAGGAGACGGGTCTAGGCCTGCTAACGCTCCTGCCCACACAGCAGCACGCGCACTTCAGCACGAGTCCCAGAAAATAATCCTGGAGCTCTGACGGCTGCGAGCTTCCTCCCACCTGCCAAGGGGACACTCTTGCCATCCCTGGGCTCGTGGTCCTCAGGTGCGTGGACAACCCCAGCTTACTCGCAGAGCCGTCTCCTGCTGCTCCAGCTACCGATGGCTGAAAAAGCAAGGCCGAGTGAGTCTGTAATACTCCATTTTGTTCACCTGTGGAAAGAAAGGGCTCCCCTCCCCTCCAAGGTGTTCAGGGGATGGACCGCATAGGTTAAGTGATGAGTTGAGGGCACGGAGATGGTGGATTTTGGACGACCTGTGAACTGTTAGCAGGCTGCAGCTGAAAGACTGAGCACCTCTAAACAGGACTTGGGGTCTTTCTACCTGCGCTGGTGCAAGACCCACATCTGGGGCCCAATCCTGCCTCAGCGAAAGGAAACAGGAGCCACTCCACAGAGTCGCAGCCGCGGCGGGCTGAGCGGAGGGACCGGGACGGCAGGCAGCCCGGCCAAGGTGTGCTGCGAGCCGCGCTCGCTGCGAGAGCAGGTGCAGAGCGAGGCAGCCACCACACCAGCGCAGCCATTTGTGCACCTGCCGCTGCCAACATCACACAGGCAGGGGCTGAGAACGCCCAACTCAGTCCACCTTCCGTCCCAGCAGAAAGCATTCAGATGGCCGCGGGTAGCGAGTCACCAAGAAGCGAAAGGGCACTGATTAATGTACAGCAACCAAACACCACGAAGGGGGAATGAGGTGGGGGGCAGACAGAAAGAGGAGCTGTCCCTCTCAGTTTTATCAGCAGGGAAAGTGCTTTCCCAGATCTTTAGGAATTATGAAAAATAAATTATGAGAAATTAAAAAAACCCCCCAGCAGAGTAGAAAAAGAATAAAATTATCTAACACCTCAACTGCACATCATTATAGAAAACTGTGGGCTTTTTATACGCATTACAGTAAGGCAGTCATCGCTACTAACAGACTCAGTACGATGGATCAGTAATTGTTTTCATACACTTTAATTAGAAAAACTCAGATGGCTATGAATAATAATGGAAAAGAGAGACTTTTGCACTTGAAAGGTTGAAGTCAATCAAGTGTACATGACGGCAAAAAAAAAAAAAAAAAAAAAAAGACACCAATTCATCAGGCCTCTGTTGTCTCGACGCGTCTTTAATCATAATTCCTGATTGGGATTCAAGAAGGCAGTAAGCAGTGGTTCTTTGTCTGCCTTCACCTTCCGTCAATTAACTCTCCCCGAAATATAATCATCAACCCCACATGCTCCTCTGCATCTTAATCCAGGCCTCCAAACTAAGAAGTCCTGCCCTAGCTGTGTTTAAGTAATTACCTTTATCTACCTGCATCTCTGTAACCGAGCTCAGCCCCTGCGTCCCCTCCCGCCCGCCCTCCACCAAAAAACAAGCGGAGGTAAATGAAATTGGTGCAGGCAGAAAATTCCCCAGAGGCAAAAAGGCAAAAGCCTGGAAGAGCACAAAGAAATCCCAGAAGTGCACACAAGGCACCTGCAGGTGCGCCAGAAAGCCACGCACGGGGGTCAGTGGCCACGGAGGTGCTCAAAGCGAGGGTCTCCGCGTGGCTCCTTCAGCCACCGACAAAGTTAGCACACTTGAGTTCGCCCCCGTGCTGCCCAGCCAGTCTCACTGGGCGAAGGCGCTGCCCGAGCAAGAATGGCGAGAGGGTCGGATGCTGCCCTTGTCACTTCTGTAAGGCCTCCCCTTCCACCGCTTCGTCTCTTTACACTGTCAACCGGAGGAGCAGGGACAGGCTCCCTCTGTGCGCGCGCGGAAAGTACCTAGGACACTGCAGCTGCTTCTGGAGCAGACGTGAACGGGAGTACTGCACGGTGCCGCGTGCTGGCTGACAGCCTCACATGATCCCGCAATCCTCCGGACCCCACATTATGTGATGTACGATATACTCGTGACGTATTTAAACCATGCAACTCTCGCGGTTGCATTTACCCCCAGCACAGGGTAAGCTCACTCAGGTGCAGGTCTCACACTCACAGCTCATCACTTCCCTGGGCGAGCCAGAGGGAGACCGTGACTTGGGCATCGGATCTCCCTGGTCTCCAGTGCTGCTGCATTTAAGACCAGCTGCTTTCATGCATCCCCAACATGCAAGCCCATACGAGCCATTAGTAACAGCAATACACAGGATACAGGCTGTGGAGCTGTGTCAGCCTGTTCTAACCACAGACCTTACTTATAGTATTATTTATGATGCCAAGAGCCTCAGTCGGGGAGCCGGGCCCCACCATGCAAGGCGCTGTAAAACAGCAAAAAGACAGTCCTAGCCCCAAAGCACTTGCAGCTCCCCTCCACTCCCTTCACCGCCTGCCTCAGTTCTTCCCCACGCTCCTTTTGCCACACCGGACACGGACCGCGGCGCCTTGGGCTGGAGGCGAGTGGTGGTCTGTGCCGTCAGGCAGCAAGCACGAACCTTTAGGCTCTAGAAAAATCACACTCTTGAGTTCCTAACCTGACTGTAGCCTGCAGGAGCCACGGCACATGTCCCGGAGGAGCACATGCTAACATTTCCCAGGTCTCTCAGAGGTCATCCTTCCATACAATGCTATTGAGCAGGATATGAATGGTCCCCTTGAGCTGGGTCACTCTCTTGACCTCCCTGTCTGAAGCGAGGAATTTTTGTATAATAGAAATTAAAGATGGGGAAGAGCTGTCAGGTCACCCTCTCCATCCTCTCCGCCCGTGCAGACTTGCTGTATGAATGGGAAGATGGGGCTAGCTCCGTTTCCTGGCAGGGTAAACTGGCAGCTAGGTCCAGCATATACAGAGCTCAGAGTTCGGAAAACCTGAGCGTGACAACAACATCCGCGCGCAGCGCCCGTCCCTTGGAAGTGCTAAGAGCCCTTTCCCAGCCGGAGCAACCACGCCGACTCCGACGTAAATTCACGGAGACGGAGACGCAGCCGCTCTCGGGGTGGCGGCAGACAAGCCGCAGAAATCACCACGTAACTGCGAGGAGAGGGCACCCTCAGTCAGAGGCTGGGGCCTGCCCCGCCTGTCTTAAATACTCCCCTGCAACCTGCGGGTGCGTTTGCTCCTCCGCGGGGAGACGCCGAAGCGGCTGCTGGAGGGCGAGCCGCGCTGAAACGGGTCGGGCAGGCGAGGGACCGTGCCGCGGGACCCAGATGCTGGCGTGCGGGGCCCTGCCGGCAGTGCCGGCCTCGCTAAACGGCAGTGAATCATTGCTCTCTCACGTTCCCCTCCGCTGCCGAGCTCCCTAGGCCTCAGCAAAGCACCTCGCTTGGGTTTTTAGAGAGCCCCGATCCATCCGAGGCCTGGGCTGTCCTCTGCGGCCAGCTTCGGCAGGTCCGTCTTGCAAGGCACCGTGTCCGTGCTAAAGCCACCCTCTCCAGACCGGCCCTGGCTGTGCAACACGGGTCTGGGAGAGCCCGCAGCCAAGGGCCCAGCGCTGAGCAGTGGCAAGGGCCCGGTCTTTAGCGCCTCACCTGTGCCTTCCCCGCACCCGCCAGGGGCCTGGGACCGACCCCAGGGAGGCTCCAGGCTGCTCTTCATGGCTTCCCCAAAATGGCTGGACACATTTAGCTTTAAAAATACAATCTCTTGAAAGGGTCTGAGGAAATACATTACTCCCCCTATGTCCATGCAACCAGGGGGAATGCACATGCAATGCAAGGTTCCCGGACCAGACAAAGGAGGTAATTTCCATTACAAAGAGAGAGAGAGAGAGAGAGAGGGTGCTGGAGGGAAAAGCTTCATTAGACTCAGAGAGGCAAAGCGATGGCAGTATACCAAGGTCACTTCTAATTTAGACCATCTAATTGGCAAACATGGCTCCAAATGGCTATCATCTCACAGGGCTCAGAATTAATGAAGCCCGATTATTTTCATTACCTTCATCCGAGATGGAGAATGAGACACAGAGTAAGAGGGAAAGGGGGGAGGAAGAGGGGGCGAGAGGGAGGGAGAGAGAAAAATTGAATGACAGCAGAAGGGAGAGAGCAATAAGAAGAGACAATGGAAACGGAGAAAAGAGTGTAAAGACAGCGCGAGAGAAGTGAGGATGGCAGAGATAGGAAAGAATCACTTGGGGAGCGGGAGCGGGCAGAGATGAAAAGACAGCTGGGAACAGGAAGCGCTGGAAAGACACCTTAAACACGGGAGAGGAAAACTGACACAGGATTAAATGGAGGGGGAGAGGAACGCGCGGAGAGATGAAGGCAGCCAAGGGGGAGGGAAATTCCCCGTCTCGGCAGGCTGCTGGGCGAGCAGGCCCTTCTTCTACCGGGAGCCCATCAGTCTTGTCAATCGGCGGCCGCCGCCGCGAACTGCACTTCACCCTCATTAAGGAGCTCTCTGCCGAAGCGGCGCAGGCCCGCGAGCAGAGACGTGGCCGTTATGCGGGAAGACAACGGTTACACGGGTTTGCAGCAGTCACAATGACACCGACAAACGTGACACGGGGACGGGCCCGAGCAGCCCGGGCTCCCGCCCTCCCGAACCCGCAGGGCGTGGGGGAGAGGTTCGGGAGCTCTGCCGCCCGTGTGA